GGACTGGGCAGTGTTTCATTCTGCTGTGCATAGGGTCGCTATGGGTTGGTACCGACTCAATGGCTCCTAACAACAACAACAACAACAATGATTATATTTACCCCATCTTTCAAAGAACATATATGGAGACAACTTGGTTTGGATGATTGCTTCTCCCTGCCTTTTTTTGTTGTTGTTCATTCTAGATCTTGTTTGGTCAATTTCCAGAAGTACATCAGTAAGACGCACAAGAACTGTAGTTCGCAGCTCTGCAAGGAAAAAGGCCAGTACACAAACCTTTTCAGTTGGTTTTATTTCTTCAGGAATTTTCTTACAAAGTGAATTGACCTTGCACCGTTAACTCAATGCAATCTTAAGAAAATACAGGCAGTATGCTTTAGAAAAAAATGACACATGCTCTAAGCAGCCATCTTACTTGACAATCATTTTACACAACTTTGCCCTTTTGTGGTGTGGAGGTGGAGCTATTTTTACATGTGAATGATTAAATCTGTACACATTCTTGCTGACCTCTCTGCAACCCCTGATGGTATTGGGAGACTGCACAAGGCTAGCTGGGGGATCTCATTCCAAGGTTTCAGTAGCTAAGGGCTGTTTGGTCACCAGAAGTGTCATCCCCAGAAAATCTGGCTGAGGTCCAGGCAGTAAACACACACCCCCCCCCACACACACAGACCTTGAAGTTACTCCCACTGCAATAGTATTTACGGACTCCATAAACCATTGCCAATAAGTCCATTTTGACTCACGTGACCCCATGTGTTAGAGTTCAACTGCTCCGTGTGGATTTCTTAGCTGTAATGTTTACAGAAGCAAATTGCCAGGTCTTTTTGATACAGTGTTGCTGGGTGGGTTCAAACTGCCAACCTGTAGGTTAATAGTTCAGTGTAAACTGTTTGCGCCACAGGATGGGTGGGCTAAACTGCATTCCATGAAGGAAGAGGCACTGTTTTCTTGTTCCCTTTGTAGTTAGAGCCCTTTGAGAGTCTGGGATACTGCAGCCTGAGAACCTTCCACTCCAGCCCTAGGGTTTAGCTCTCCATCCTCAGAACATCCTCAGAAAGTTGAAGGCCGCTTTCAAGTCCCTCAGCTCAACAGTGTCTGCATCTGATAGATTTTCACTCCAGAAATTGTGGGCTAGGAAGGAACACCAGCTCCACTGTTTTGGGGCTTTCTGTTCAACAGCCCAGCTCGAGCATGGAATTGAATTTGAAGAAGCAGGTGGCTTTGTTTCCACCCACTCAGTCAAACTAGTGTGAGCAGGTCTGTTTGGGAACCACAGAGACCTACACCAAGAATTTTTTCTGGTCATCAAGCCTCATAAACCTGCCGGTTTAACATCCACTAAACTGGGAGACAGTGAAGATTCCTAGTTCTAGCAGCTGAGTTTCTCCTCACATTGATTTCTTGGGAGTTTGGGGAACAACCAAGGGCCCCTAAAGCCTCCAATGTAGAGCCCAGGGATAAAAGAGATCCTGGAGAAAGTGTCTCAGTCATTTCTTTTCTTCTGGAAGGTTCTCTTACATGAGATACCAGTTAGTCCCAAAGTACCTCTCCCAGAGGGACAGGTGGTATCTGCACCCGAGCAGGCCTGGCAGGTGTAGGAAAAAGGTGACAGGAGAGGGTGCAAGTGGCAGCTGAGGGCATCTGAGAAGTTGTATTTGTGGAGCTGGTCTCCGGATTCATTTGAGTAGGATCCCACTATGATGCCAGAGTTGTGGGAAACACAAGTCCTAAGTCAGAGCAATGCTGAACACAGGTTTCTGGGAATCTTCAGGGCCTCCAGGAATGCCGGGCAGCTTCCTATCCAAGAGTAACTGTGAGACATGGAGAGGCCCTGGGGGTGAATTCGGAGAAGGTGAAGGTGGGGTGTGGGAGGGCAGTGGATAGGAAGGAGGAACATCTCACTCTGAACTGGGAGAAGCTGCAGAGTCTCCATCCTCAGGGTCCTGCCCTTGTGGGGAGATGGGCTGACCTCCCTTCACACGTTTCCACTTCATCCTCCGGTTCTGGAACCACACTTTGACCTGGAAGAGGAATCAAAGGAGCCCAGTCATGTTAGGGCCCTGTGACCCTTCTCTTTGTCATGCCCAAGCAAGCCAGGGTGTAGTTCCAGGAGCCCTAACTTGAAACCTTCACTGGCCCAAAGGCCCAGGAACAAAGACCAAGCAGAGGGCACTCAGATTGGCCTAGAAGCTTGTCTGCTGGTCTGCAGATAAAACCAGGGACACGTGTGCTAAAAATCACTCTGCATTGGTCTTGCCTCCTTTCACATGCCCTGCCCCCACCCTCTCCTTCCATTCCCCATTCTCCACTTATCTGGGAGCACAGGATCACCAGTGCCAGCCTTTGTTACTGTTTTTATGTGTCATCAAGCAGAGTCTGATTCCTAGTGGCCCTCTATGACACAGTAGAATGGTCCCATAGGGTTTCTTTTGTTAAGTGCCATTAAGTATCAGTTCGGACTCAAAGTGCCCCTGTAATAGCGGGGGTGGGGGACATCTGATCTGTGGACCAAGTAAAGTCCCAGAAAGCATTTGGTCTGGCCTTGCCAAAGAAGCCACAGTTCCACTCATCACATTGTTATTGTTGTGAAGTGCCATCAAGTCTGACTCATAGCAACCCTGTCTAGCATTTCCAAGGAGTGGCTGGTGGGTTTGAACCACTGACCTTGTGGTTCAAACTGATCTACGGTCCAGTGCATTGTCCTGTAGCATCACACCAGGACTCCAAGCCATCACATAGTTGTTGTTGTTAAGTGTCATCGCATCGGTTCTGACTCATAGTGATCCTGTATAGGGGTTTCTGAGGAACAGCTGGTGAATTTGAACCTCCAACTTTGTGGTTCAAATGACTTTGCAGTCCAGTGCATTAACCTAAAGTGCCGTCAAGTCGGTTCTGACCCATAGCGACCCTGTACAGGGTTTCCGAGGGTGTAAATCTTTACGGGAGTAGAAAGCCTCATCTTTCTCCCGCGGAGCGGCTGGTAGTTTCGAACCGCTGACCTTAAGGTTCGCAGCCCGATTCGTAACCACTACGCTACCAGAGCTCCTTCTAGCCATCACATTAGTAGTGCGTTAATTAATTGTTTAACCAAATATAGCAGGCTAATTTTTTAAATGATAATTTTGTATGTTATAATTTTGGGCAGGAAAAGGTCCCCCACCCCTGGTGTGGTACTGTAGGATAAGCACTAGACTGCAAAGTCCTTTGAGTTGCAAGGTTGGTGGTTCAAACTCACCAGCCTCTCCTTGAAAACCCTATGCAGGGTTGCCAGGAGTCAGAACCAACTCGATGACACTTGTGAGCAACAAAAACACTGCTGTATAAGGTTTCCAAGGAGTGGCTGGTGAGTTTGAACTGCTGACCTTGCAATTCAAACCGACTTGGGGTCCAGTGCTAACCCTACAGCACCATACCAGGATGCCAGGGTTTCTTTTAGGCACATTTCCAGTTTAGATAGCTCTGGTCTGCCCATTTCTGAGCTTCAGTATTGCATGAAGGTTGGGATTAAGACCCTGTTGTTTCCAAAGAGGTCAAGAAAGAGGTCTCGGAGCTAGAAAATAATAGAGGCAGGATTTGAGTCTAAGTCTTCTGATATGAAATTCAGCACTCTGGTATAGAGTTTTACAAACTGAAAGTTGCTTTCATGTCAGAGCCAAAAATAATGGGTCCAAGTTTTCCTTAAAGGGTATCAGGAACCATTTCCACTTCTGAATCACCTGGAGAACTTATTAGAAATGCAGATTCCCAGCCCAACCCAATCTCACTGCAGAACTGCCCTATGGAGCTGGGGCTCCAGAATCGGCATTTGAAACAAGCGATTCTGGGGACTCCAATGCCCACTTAAATTTAAGTGTTTCGTCAAAAGGCACCTAACAACAACAACCACAAGCTCCCAGTCAAGGCTGGCTGTACTGGGGGAGAGGGGGGAAGTAGGGAGAGAGGGCTTTGCAAATTCTGATTGCTGCCCCCTATCCCAGTGAACAATCTCTAGGGGTGGAGCCCGGGCATTGTGCTAAAAAAATCTCTCAGTTAATTCTCCCTTACTGATACTGTTGAGAACCACTGGACTAAGGAGAGGGAGGTGAGAAAGCAAAAGGCTTAGTAAGGGTGAGAGAAGAGCATAAGGAGACTGGAGGAACAGAGGAAAGCAAAGAGGGTCCAGAAGAGGAGGTGCCATCTGGGCCACACCTGCCGCTCAGAGAGGTCCAGGTTCACTGCGATCTCGTATCTCCGGAGCCGAGTCAGGTAGTTGTGGTGCGCAAACTCAGCCTCCAGCTCTCGTAGCTGTTCCTTGGTGAAGGCTGTCCTCTCCTTGCGGGCCTTGCTGCTACCTTCAGGTTTTCCTCGATTCTCCTGGTTATCTGGGGAGAGAGATCCACACCAGGAAGCTTGTGAGCCAAAGATGCCTTAGTTGCCTTTCTTTTACTCTTCTTTCTCTCTCTGATTTCTAAAAAAATCTGAGAAAAAAGCTACCTTGCCTCCTCATCGTCCCTTCAACGTCTTAGCCTTCTGAGAATTGGGGAGTCCATATTTGCTCCCAACCTCAGGTGCGCCCCCCTCCTCTCCACTCACCCCCACCTTTTTTATTCCTGAAGCTCATGAAGCTGTTTGGCTAGCTAATGCTCACCATCACTCAGGCTATATTAGTGACAGAAAGCTTGTGGGGTGACACAAGGCAATTCTTGAATTGTGGTCCCTAGAACAGCAGCTGTAGCATCATCTGAGAACTTGTTAGAAATGCAAATCCTTAGCCCTACCCCAGTGTAACGAGCTCTCCAGGGAATGTGATGCATGGTCAAGTGTTCAAGGCATTGTTCTAAGTGTGATCCCGTGCTGGCAATGATAGCATCACCAGGAGCTGGTCACACATGCCCTACCACTAAATCCGATCTGTATTTTAGTGAGCTCCCAGGTTTGTGTGCCCATGGAAACTGAAACGAAAGACCTTGAGTTGCTTTTCCTCTTTGACACTGGGAGGGGCAAATCTGGAAAATCCATCTGGACATCTGTGAAGAAGGTCCTGAGCTAGACACAGTGGGAGGCAGGGCTCAGTTACAAGTGCTAACAGGGGCCCAGGGGAACAGACTGCCAGGACTTGTACCAAACATCTTACCAGTACAGTACTAGTTGTCATCAAGTTGGTTCTGACTGACGGTAACCCCATGTGTGTCAGAATAGAACTGGCTTCCATAGGGTTTTCAAGGCTGTGATCATTCAAAAGCAGATTTTTTTTCTGAGGTGCCTCTTTGTTGATTTGAACTGCCAACCTTTTCGTCAGTATTCAAGAACTTAACCATTTAGGTCATCCTTACATTCTCATGCTAACCTAGCCACGTGAATTCTAGTTTCACCCCATTTTATAGACCAGGAAAATAAACAGAGATGTTAAACAAGATGTCTAAATTCTTTTCATCAAGACAGGAATCAAAGCGAGGCAGTTTGACTCACATACTTGTATTCGAGTTTATATTCTAAAGCACTTGGTTTGTGGAAGGCTGTGGCTTACAGTGGGAACTCTAACTTTATTTTGAGTCTTGACATAAATTCAGACCCCATTTGAATTATTCCTGACCATTACCCAGCAGTTCTGCTCTCAAAGTATGTTAGAAAGTAGATTACACTCCCAATGATTTACCAACAATAGCAGAGTTATCTAAAAGTTGGGGCACTAGTGGCTATGACAGAGGGTACAATGGCCAGGAGTTAATACCACAAACACCACTAAGCCACGTGGTCAAAACCCCAGTATCAATCCTGCAAACTTGTAAAATCTGCAGTTGTGTATGCATCCCAACCCTGGTCTCTCCCAACCCTCGTTTCTTTTACCCTGCCTGTGACAGTAATGAATTGATCTGCGCTCAATCATGATTTTGTGCTGGTTTCTTTGGTTTTCCATCATCTGTAATTAGCTCCTTTGGTGTGAATTCATTGGACACTATCTTGGCCTCATGTTGATGGTTTCCATCATCTGCATGGTTGTCTTTGTCTTGCTTTTGTCCTATTCAAAACTTAATAAAGGACTCTCTATAGACTATGTAAAGAAAACAAAAGTCCTCACCACTGGACCAATAACCGACATCAGGATAAACAGAGAAAAGATAGAAGTTGTCAAAGACTTCATGTTGCTTGAATCAACCATCGACACTCATGGAAACAACAATCAAGAAGTCAAATGACATATTGTATTAGGCAGATCTCTGCACAAGACCTCTTTAAAGTATTCAAGAGCATAGAAGTGAGTTTGAGGACTAAGGTGCATCTGACCCAAGTCATGGTATTTTCAATAACTTCATATGCATGTGAAAGTTGGACAGTCAATAAATAATACTCAGAAGGATTGATGCATGTCATGGTGTTGGAGGAGAATATTAAAAGTACCATGAACCGCCAAAGGAACAAACCAATCTTCTGAAAGAAGTAAAGACAGAATGCTCCTTAGAAGCCAAGATGGCCAGACTTCATCTCTCATCCTTTGGACGTATTACCAGGAGGGACCATTCCCTGGAGAAGGACATCATGGTTGGTAAAGTGGAGGGTCAGTGTAAAAGAGGAAGACCCCAATGAGATGGATTGGCACAGTGGCAGGAGCAATGACTTCGAGCACAGTAATGACTGTGATTCTGGTGTGCATAAGGGTGCTATGAGTTGATACGGACTCAAACAAGGCTAAGTAACAACAGCAAACAAAATAAGTTTACACTTGGGTTCTTTTTCTCCTAGAACATATTGTTCAAAGGAAAAAGACGTAGTTTGCACAGTGTAAAGTGCTGAACAAATGAAAGGGTCTCCGCTATCTCTTGGTCAGTGGAAGGGGCAACTCTACTGTTACTTTAATGGGGGGCGGGGCACGCAGGAAGGAGACGCACCTACACAATTAGCCAACAAGGTTCACCAAGTTCAGTGAATGGCTACCAAGAACTACTTCTTTTCCTTTGGGGTTTTAACATTTAGAAGTTTTTCTGCAGACAAGGGGACTGTGACTAGGGCAGGTGTCTTATCCAAAGTCAACACCTGAACACCAAAATCTGCGCCCCGCCCATTCCCACCCTGCCATGTATATGTGTGTGTAGCCGGTAGGTCTAAGCTGGCCTGGAGAACCAGTGGGAGGACACGGACGGGTGGGGTAGGGGAAGAAAGCCGCCCACACTCCCCGCCCAGTTGCCAAGTTGCGGGGGCCGGGGAAGATGTAGAAATCTCGCATTAACCCTCCGTTCCAATTTGGAACTGTGAGTCTGGCTGGTTCCCTTCTCAGCGCTTCCTTCTGCTTTTCATGCAGTCCCTTTGTAGTGCAATCCTCTGCCCGAGAGCCACGTTGCCTGGGCAGCGGTGGGCGGCTCTAGGGCGCGTTGAGGCGCACGGCAAAGCCATCTGTGCGCCGGCCAAGGGCCAGGTAGCTGCTGCGCGCCCGCTGGGCTCTCCAGTGGGATGACGACTCGGCGCACCGCAGTCCGGGGCAGGTGGAAGAGTTCCACTCCGCAGGGACCCCCGGCTGCCCTGGTGCCCTAGTAGGGAGTGGATCAAGGCGTTTGGAACGGGTTGGCCGCCTGCGGGGCGCGTCCGGGGAGGAGGGAAAGGGGCGAGTTCCCGGCCCGGGCTGCCTGCCCGGTGGCCTCTGGCTCCTGGCCGGAGAAGCAGGCTCAGACCCCTCCGGAAGGGAGCGTGGGCTGGAGGGGAAGGACGCACAGCCCCGGGAAGGGGTCCCCGAGGAGTCCTCTGGCCTTGGCGGACGCCAGCGCCACACCCCCTTCTGGCCGCGGGCCCTGGAGGGGCGGTCACGCAGCGGATGCGCGGCCTTCCCGGAGCCTGCCGGCCCACGGGCCCGAGAGTGAGTCCAGGAAACCCGGGCCGCAGCTCAGCCCCCGGGTGGAGTCGGTGGCTCGGTTCACAATCCCCTCGGGCTCCAGAGCTCAATGTCCCCACCCTTCCGTGGAACGGGGGAGATTGTAAAAATCAGAGGACTAGCCTGAGATTTGAATCCCGAATCTCTTGCTGGCGATTTTGAGGATTTAGTGTCTCTGGGTCTCAGTCACCTCATCAAGAAACTGAGGGGAAGTAAGCACCTGCCCCACAGGGTTATTGAGAAGAGTGGACAAATTCGTATGTGGAAAATGCTTTAAAAACCATAACATGCTGGATTCTTTCAATTCTGCGGCTCCACAAAATGCTTTCTGAAGGGTTGGGGTAAAATTTCACCAAGGTTTCTGTGTGCCTGGTGCCACACTTGAGAATAAGTACTAGAAGGGACTTCAAAAAATTCGTGGAAAAATCCCATTTTACACTTACTTTTTGGAACCCCGTGGTATTGGTAATCCCCTTTAGCATTGTTACGGGGTCCCTAGGTGGTACACGTGGTTAACACGGGATTGATTTATAACCAAAAGGTTGATGATGCCTTTCACCCAGAGTACCTGGAAAGAAACGGCTGGTGATTTCTTTCCAAAAAACCAGCCTTTGAAAAACCTAAGGAGCGCAGTTCTCCTCTGACTCACAGGGTCCAGGTTGCGCCTTAATTGATTCTACAGCAACTGCTTAGCATTGTTTTTGTTGATCTCTGTGATTAGCTAATAGCGGTTTCCCCTGGGATGGAGCTGCTTTTGTCTCACCCTTGCTTCTAGCCCTAGATGCTCTTGTACATGTTGGGTAGGAAGCTTTTGTTAAATCTCTTCATTTTATAGAGGAGGAAGCCAGGAACTTACCCAGTATGCTCAGCAGCTTTTAGGTGGAAAAGCTGGGGTTCTAGACCCAGCTTACCTGACTCTAAGGAGCCCTGGTGGCATAATGCCATACATTGGGCTAATAAACACAAGGTCAGCAGTTCAAATCCACCAGCCACTCCTCAGGAGAAAGAGGAAGCTTTCTGCTCCCGTAAAGATCTACAGCCTTGGAAACCATACACAGGGTTGTTATGAGTTGGAATCAACTCTGTGGCAATGGATTTGGTTTTAGTTTGCCTGACTCTAGAGCAGTAGCTCTCAGCCTTGCATTGTTGTTGTTAAGTGCCGTTGGGTCAGTTCCGACCCATAGTGACCCTGTATAGGGTTTCCGAGGAGCTGCTGGTGATCTTAAACCGCCGACCTTGCAGTTCAAACGGCTTTGCAGTCTGGTGCATTAACCACAGCGCCACACCAGGCATTAGTATCTCCATTTTCCATCTGGCTGGCTGGGCCTGACCTACGGTAGCACTACTGGTCTCTACCTCCAGCCCCCTGGTAGCATTGTCCTGGATTTCAGTCCACACCTTCCCTCCCCTTCTCCCATACCTGCTTAGGCACATATAGGTTCTCTGTAGACCTCCCCTCCCCCTCCCCATCACACATACACACACACACACACACACACACACACACAGTTCTGCACATAT